GCTAAAAACAGCTATGGAATGACAAGTGCCACAGCGAAAGTCACATCAACAGGTTTAATGGAGCTCTTGAAGGAGTGATTTCATTTATTAAATTAAATCCAGGTTCGAATCTAATCGAATATGGCCCAACGAATCAGAGTGTGGTGATAGGAACGAATATTGTGATACCATGCGAAGTTAGCGCAGACTATGAAGCCAGCGCAAATGTGATGTGGTATATGAATGTGAGTTCCTCCATTTTTTTGTGGAGAAGCTGCGAATTTCCTTTTTTTAGGATGAGCTGATACCGTCAACTGGAAATCCAAGCCTACGTTTGACTAACAAGAAGGGTGGACTATTAATACAACAAGTAGGCCCTGATAATATTGGAGAGTATCGATGTACAGTCTCAGTGGATGGACGAGAAGAGAGCGCATCTGCATTTCTGCGAATTATCGGTAGTACTTTGGTGTTCTTTTTTTATTTAACCAAAACACTCCATTCTTTAAAGTGATTCTTCGAAATTATCATGAACGGATATCGTGAGGGACAGTGTCTAATTTATAACCGTGAGATGAATATTACTTTAAAAATGAAAAGTTTGCTTCTTTTTGAGGAACGATAGCATTAATCTGAAGTAGTAGTTCTCAGTCCATGACAATTACTTCTAATAAATATTACGTCAAAAACGAATCTTGTATTGATAATTTATATGTTAAGATAGTTTAGAAAAGACAACGCTTCCTTTCTTAAAATACATCAATATTCAGAACGACCGCAAATGCCTACATTTGTTCGTGCTGAACTCATCAACAACACTCTTCCTGCGAAAATCCGAATTTCTTGGGTTGAGGGTTTTGACGGGAATTCACCCATCATAAAGTGAGTTTATCTATGACTAAACTTTGCTTTTATGCTATTTATTTACGCTCATTTTAGGCATTCTGTTGAAATGCGTACAGTGGGACCTACTCAGCTGTGGAGCGATTGGGAAGTTGTTGTGGACAATGTCCCAACTGAAGTAGGTCCACATATTCAGAAGATTTCATTTAATTCTGCTACCGTAATAGCGTGAGTTGAAAAACTCCTCGGCACTAAAATGAAGGTTAAGGAATGCTGCTCTGTACTTGTTGATAACCTCCGGCCATCAGTGACTGCTGAGTTTCGCGTGATTGCTTCAAATCGTTATGGATCGGGAAAACCATCTTTGCCATCAGGTGGGACACTTTTCTTGATGATGTATTTCTACTTTTCAAATCATCTTCTCATATGTTATGCCATAACATTTGGCAACAGATGGGATTTTACGACATTATCGTGCCTCATAAAAACCTAATTAGGTAATGTCACGATGCCGCAACAACCTCCAGCGGCTGCACCGCGCAACGTAGCAGCGTCGGCACGATCAGCGAACAGCATTATAGTGCAATGGCAACAGCCACAAGAAGAACAATGGAGCGGGGATATATTGGGATATATCGTACGGTGAGGATTATAGGATTATAGCGTTGAATCTGCTAGTAGTGGTAAAATGGGAAAATAGTCGCAGAACCTCGGGGAATTTGTTGAGAAATCCATTTCTTATGCCAGTTCATAAAAAGGTTGCAGTGTTCTTTTGTCATTTTTTCTTTTCTGGTACTAGCAATAAGAATTTTTCCAAACCCATCTTATGTTACTTGTTTAGTTCAAACACGATAACAGATATTCATGAGCTTATATTCACAGTTTGGCGAAAGTTGAGCATTTGTTGCTTGTCGGTCCTCTTCCTTCTCCCATTTTCCTGCAGTTTTGGTCCAACTATCTATAATTACCTTGTTTTACCTATTACCGCTCCTTATTACTTGTACTCCGGTTTATTGATGTTGCTTCTAATTTTATCTTTATAATGTTACATCTTTCTTAATCAGAAGAAGCTTGAATTTTTCAAATTTTGTGACTAGTCATTTTTCTTCCTTTTTTT